CACCCCCAGCTGGGGTGGGGAATTCTGGGAGTTGAAGTCCACTCATCTTAAAGTGGCCAAGTTTGGACAACACTGTCCTAAAAGCAGTGTGTACAGTAGGGGAGTCTGCAGGACAGGCTCAAAGTTTCAAGATGGTAGATGTGACATCATGATCAAAGGTGTGTGTGAACATGATGCCATAGCTGCTATCTTGCAAATTTTGCCCTTCCGCTACAGTGGACCACCCAGTATATAGTTTTGACTTCAGGACACATAATGAGATGCTGTCTGCAAACCAAATATTCCTATGTATTGATTTGAATGATGGCGTTATGATTGAGTGATGTTTCATGTTGACCTTTTTCTTTCCTTTTCAAGGATAATAAAGTTAAATCTCTGCTCTCACAACTCCTTTGCTGTAATAATCGAATGACTTCAGAACAGATGTTGAATGCTGACTGCTTCTTGTCACCTGACATGATTTCAGTTCCACTGGAAAGTGAGCTCACTGAATATGACCACGGAGAAAAGAGAACAGAAGATGCTGTTGTGTCTGATGAAAGGCAGGACAACAAGAGAGAACCTTCATCGAATAGAGATTCAGATGGTTGTAAGTATGATCAGAATGCAAATTCACATTAAATAAGATCAGCATAACCTGGACGTCCCAAGATAGCCTTTTCAGTCTTGTGATATTAAAAACAGCAGAAGATACAAATGTACTGTATCTTGAAAGGTTATATACATAAGTTTTCTGCTTTGGCATTTGATATCTTTTTTTAAACAAGTGTGATATATATTGAGGAATATCAGTGCTTGACCTAAGTTGTAGCTTCAGTTTTGTGCATGTTAAAATTTATCTGCTGTCAAGTCTTCTTTTCACTTGTCTTCCAGAACCACAAAATACAAGACTGAAGCTTCCCTTGTTGCTGTAGAGAATTCCAAAATTATGTTCTTTAAACTAACATTGGAAGACCAGAGTTCCCATAATTTGTTAACTGGAATTGTTTTGTTGCTTGTACTTTGACATAAATGTTGCTCAATTACTTGTAATTCTGTTTGATTCCTTACTGTTTTGGGAGCAATAGTATTAAACTTACCTGAATAAAGTTTTGAAGCAAATACATTGTGGTGTTTTGGAGAAATTATGATTTATACATTAAAAGAAGTTAGGTGAGAGAAGTTCAGCATAAATTTATATAGGTATCAGTTTATAAGAAGTGGATCTTTTGCAGTGTCTGTGAGGTTTACAACTGGCCACCAGATGGTGGTCTTGACTTTTAAGCATCATAGCTGAATTGGCAAATTTAAGAGCAGATAGTGAAATGCTGCTTTTGACGCTATTTCAAGTTAACTGGCTATTGCTATTTAAAGCATTCACAATACAATTTATTTTGTGGAAAGTGATAAGCCATTTCTAAGTATATAATAGGTAATTCTTTTGTTCAGCTGGAGGCTGTAGGATTGTACCTGTCATTCAATTTTTGCTGAATTCTTAATTCTTTTTTTAAAAACTGAGTATAAATAGTATTTTTAGTCATGATATCCCATAACATCTCATATATCTATGGGAAAGGCATCTTGGTTATTCCATTTTTTTTCAAAATAATCTGCTCTATGGTCAGAATGATAGAGTAAGGCACTTGTAAAAGTTTTTTCTATGGACTAATACAGAGCAGTTAATAACATTAGAGTTTGCAGATTACAATTAAATCTCTTAGGATGAATTGGATGTCAGATAAAATATGGCATACTAGCTAGTCAAATATTAGATCTCTTAGGTATCATAATGAACCTGTATAGGGTGGCAGGTCTTCTTGCTTTGTAAACATGAAACTGAATTTTCCTGCTTCTGTCAATGTGGAACCTATCCACTTGGGTTTCATTTTGTGGAAAGACAAGAGGTTTCCCTTGTCCTTGTTAGCACTTCAGGGACAATGACAAACCTTAAAAGACCTCAGTGGTAAGAAAAGCTGCGAATCTCTGAAGTAGTGAAATAAGCATACAGTCACTGAACAATAATATGGCAAAACTGAATTAATGATTAAATATTTGCTGCAGAAATAGAAAAAAATCTGTCGTGTTATTTTTCCTGTCATTGCAAAACTTTTTGAGAAAGAAATATTGAGTACTGATTAGCATTGGAACACCCAATTCTTTTTCAGCATACAAGTTTCTTCCAAGTCTCTGAATAATTTCTATCTATAGACAGCGCATTAGGAGTACAGAAATCATATGCTGAAAATTAAATTTTTGGAATATATTTAGGATAGGGGAAAATGTATTTCCATTAAACTATTTATTGCATAAAAATTATTATTCCAATCCCTCCTCTCAGATAATCACCAGTGGTATTATTTTCCTTGTAATTAAAATGCAATGTGGTACTTGTCAAAGTTGCCTCTAATCTTTCTTAGTGTTTGCTTTGATGCTGGAACCTTTGACATGTTTAATACAATAACCTGGTGATGTTTCAGAACATTAGAGTGGCAGCACTGAACATGAGTTGTTAAGGCAGATAATATATTGGGGTCTTTCTAATGTTTATCAAAGATCTCTACCCAGGCTTGCAGAGATAATACAGCAATACAGTACATACTCTGGATGTATAGTAAATAGAAACAAATTTAGTATTTTACCAGTTGGTAATAATGGTATGTTTAGAAATATGTAAAAAACTGGGTTTTGTTTTTTTATTCAAGCTCTATTATATCCATGATGATAATTATTCCCATTATTATTGATACTTTGGTAAATATGAATATTTCAGATTGTATAGTACAGATTAATGAGTATCAGGATTGATGAGGGAACTATGCAATTTTACTTAGATATTTTCAACACATTGACAAGCAAATAATTAAATTCTGTGAAATGGTCAAATACCAATTTCCATATGAAAAAAAGGTTTGAATTTAAATTAAATCACTGGGTGTATTTGTAAAACTTCTGTAATATATTGAAACAATAATAATACCGAACATTACCATTATGGGCCCAACTGGAAAGTTACTTTGTGGCAGGTTTCTCAACCTTGACAACTTTAAGATGTGGGGATTTCAACTCCCAGAATTCCCCATCAGCATTGGTTCTAAGTGTAGTAGGAGTTCTCACCAATCCTCAACACTGAAAGCATTTAGACACATTTGTCATTGGATAAGTAATTAAAATGTCTCACTGGAAATTGATTCTCTGGAATAAGTCTTCTATAAATGTGGTTGGAAAAACCTTTCTTTGGAAAACATGAGCAGAAAATGGGATAATTACTCTTCATTAGTTAATTATTAATGACGTGGTTCACCAAAACCAACTGAATAACAATAATTTTAATTGAAGCATTTGTTATGTTTGTTTTGTTTGGTCCAGATGCTTTGGCTGCTTCGAAATCCCCTCTGGCATTGAATCTATTATACACAGAAGCTAGGCTTATCGCTAAATACTGCCAACAATAAATAAATTTATAAATAAATAAACCTGGATAATATACAAGAAATGTGGAACAGAGAATTGAAGTCTGTATTACAAAACCAGAGATCTTATGTCTTAGGCAGCATTAAATTTCTTTCTTATCTAAAAACAAGGTTCATTTGGGGCTTCCGGTGTGAGTCATGGCTGACTGAAGATGTCTCCACGAACAAGGAGAGACAACTGCTGTGAAGAATGAAAGGCTGGAGAGTAGACCAGTCCTTCGAATTTCTCCAGAGAAGGAGAGATTGGGAGATCGTCCATGAGTGCTCTGAATGGCAGCTCCTTGCGAGGAGTCTGTAAAACAGACTCCTGCTGGTTTAAGTGCCAGGAGCCGAAGGAGATGACACCTTTGCTCTCAGTGGTGGAGCCTTTCATAAGGACACTAAGCTAGCTGAACTCACATTCTAATCACATTTGGAAATGTTCAATTTAATCACTTTATGGATATTAGAGACCTTCAAAACGGCGAGCTTAATTTGACACCTGATAAGTTTTACCCTTCTTCGGATTTAAGAAATTTTAAACAGACTTAATTTAAAATAATACACACTTGGCAAAAAGAAAAAAGAAAAAGAAAGATTTTGATTTAAGAAATTTTTAAACAGAGTGGGAGACCAGAGAAATTTGGAATACTGGTTATTTTTGCTGTAAGATTTGAAAAACAAGTATATAATTAAATAATATACTTGTGGGAAATGACTGAAATGGAACTAAACCATATTAGGAGCTGAGGCTTGATGAAGTTTGCAAATGGACACTAGAGTGAACTAAAGGACCAGGCAGAAAAGAGTTAAAATGGCTAAGCTGGCTATAACCTTATCTTAGTGTTTTTTGAAATATGGACTGAAATAGTAATACTTAATATCTCAGAAAGAGTACAGATTTCAATGGATAAAATTTTAGAAGATGAGAAAAACTTTAAAAAGCTTTTACCTGATAGACATTATAGAGTTTGAAGGCATGGAAGGCAAGAAAATTGAGATTACCAAAATGGGAATATAAAAGACAAAGAAAGAAAGGACCTGGAGGTGGAAAGCTGCAACAAATTCTGGACAATGCCTCTATGGGATTTACAAAGGAGGCTGGTGAAAGCTTTGAAGATTCCTTTTAAGTGCCAAAGAATGATGAAAGATCAAACCCCACGGTGGCAAAGGAATGATTTAAAGGTCAAGATTGTGTAGAGCAAAAAGAAGGAATATCAAGTTGGAATATTTAACCTGTTTGTTTGATATTTCTGGTAACTCCTAATGGACGTTTTGCTGAACTAAGATTGAAAAGATGATGATTTCTGGATTGTGTATACAGTAGATAAAAGGCTATGGGGAGAAGAGCTCTTTATTTGTAACTTTAAAAGAGGGCGAGAAGTTAGTATATTAGCTTATGCTGAATGTGATGAAGACGCCACTTTTTTATTATTGCCTTTGTTGCCTTTTTTCTATTTTTTTTCTTTTATCTGCACCTTCTGAATGTTTTTTTCAACTTTAGTTTGTATTAGTTTTTACTATGTTTATTAAAAACATCAATAAAATTATTAACAAAAAATAAAAATAAGGTTAATTTAACAAAAAAAAAACTTTTAAAGTTTTATTGGACTATTTACAGATGTTTTAAAAAGTATGGTTAATATCCTTATGTTGGACATCCCAGGAAGGCTTCAACAGCCACACCAGGTAAAGCTGGGCAAAGACCCCTCTGGCTACAGCTTCTGCTGCTGTTCCAGTAGGAGTCATGAACTCAAGAGGACCCCGAAGTCACAGACTTGCTCCTTCAGGAGTAAGGCAACCCCACCCAGAGTCACTATTGGGACATTAGGGGAACTGTAATGTACAAACAGTAGCTCCAACTTGCTAGGGTTCAATTTTAGCCTGTTCTGTCCCATCCTGACCATCGTAGCTTCCAGGCACCAGGACAAGAGTTTGACAGCATTTCTAGCATGGCCTGGGAGTCATGAAGTAAGGCATACTGATGATGCCAAACCCCAACCCACTTGATGACCTCACCCAGTGCCTTCATATAGATATTAAATAACAGTGGGAAAGAACCCACCCTTGCACAACCATAGTGCCATTCCCTCCCTATTAACACACCTGGAAATGCCCACTAAGGAAAGAACTACTGCAGAATAGCGCCTCAATTCCCAAACCCTTTATCCAGGTCTTCACAAAAGTCATATACTAGAGTGACCAAGGTTGTCTCTGTCCCATGCCCAGGCCTGAAGCCTGATTGGTAAGGGTCCACATAATTTGCTTCCTTTAAGGCACTCTGTAGTTGACCCTGAACTATTGTTTCAACAACCTTTGCCAAAAAGGGAAGGTTGGAGACTGGATTCAAGGAAGGCCTTTTGATAGAGGATGCAGGGAGGAGAAGGGCTGCTAGCATTGCCCCATCCCACAATGAATCATTCACTAACTCCCAGATCCAGGGAACTAGTTGCCTAAAGGAGCAAGGAAGGGCAACAATCCAGCCTGCGGGTAGCCAAGGACATCCTAGAGAGCACCCTACCGCTTCCTCGGAGGTTACAGACTAAAAAGAGGAAATGGAATCCAGACTTGAATGCAACCAACTTTACCAGCAAAATGTGCTAACTGGTCACAGCAGCCAGGTAGTGACTCTTACCCAGAAGGGAATTAGCCCTCCAAATA